GGTCTTTTAACAAAGAATCTCATTATCTTCTCCAACTACCCCACCCTACGCACCCCACCCCTCACCTCACCCTCCTCCCAACCCAAAACCAAAACTGACGGCACTACCAAACCCACCTCCTCCACCGTCCAAGGGCAACAATCTCCAGCGCAACCTCTCCGACAACAAACTCCACTACAATATAAACAAGAACAAAACATGGTTCTGTATCAAGGTTTTGAAATGCAATCTTCTTCCTTGTGAGTTGCAGATTGATGCCTAAAAATCCACTTCCAAACCTTGTGCCCTTTGTTCCCCCTTTTTTAATCCTCTCTCATTCACTGTTATTCTACGAGATCCCCCATTACTTTTGAGATTTGCAAGAGAAATTCTAGATTGATCAGACTTCTTCAAATCTGATTTGGGTCTGCTGATAAATCAAGATTCAGATCAATGAAAGCTGATTCATCCATGGCACTGAAATCACTTTCTTTAACGGGATAAACACCCTTTTTTACGGTGCCAATTTTAGCATCAAATCCACCTCTGAGTCCACTTTTTCTTGGATCAAACCCACTTTTTATTGTCTCAGATTCTAAATCCATGAAAACCCCACTTGTTATTCTCTATCAGAAATGAGATTCTACCAACACTTCCAACCTCCATGGCGCTGCACGAGTTTCTGTATGAAAAAAATCTAAACAAGAACATGAAGACATGCGCTGTTCTCCACTCTGTACACACCAATTTAACAAGCTTTTCTTTAAGGCAGTAAGCACAGATCCCAATAGAAGATGAAGAATGGTGTTTCCTGCAGGGCAATTCTAATCCAGAATAGTTGAAATCTGAATCGTTGTTATAGATTTCAACAGCTTTGCCTCTCTCTTTCATGGTTTCTGGTTTTGAAAGAAATGGCGGAGATCAAAAGATCAAATTATGCAAAGAATTGATGAAAAAATTTTTTGCCCTTGGACGGTAGCGGATGTGGGTTTGGTGGTTACTGACATTTTGGTTTTGCGTTGGGTTGGTTGGAGAAGATAACAGGGTTTTTTGGTTTTTGATTTTAGTTTTTTTATATGAAAAAGGGAAAGTTACCATTTTACCCTTTCAGAATTAGTCAACAATTGGTCCGATTTTTAATTTTTGGTCAAGTAACGGGCAAACTAACGGTTTCTGTCAATTTGGACTCAGGGTGCGAATTGTTTAAAGGTTTGCTACCGCGGGTAGCACAAATAAAATGTTTGGGCAAAGTCTGAAAAAATGTGAAAGGTTTGATACCGTGGCTGCAATTTTCCCTTAAAAAAAAAAGATAACAAGAATAGTAGAACTCAATTTCACACCACGCCACTTTCAAGGTATTTTGGTTGTCTCCATCTTTGATGCTTCTAATTCATGCTTTGAAACTTGATTCTACTATTTGGGTTCTGAAATTTTGAGTTTGATTAGGATTGTAATTTCGGGACATTACATTAGTGGTGGTGGAAAATCAACGGGAAATGGTGTTGACTTGGAAGAGGGAAAAGAGTAGTGCTAGCTGTGGCCATGACGACTGCATGGAAGAGGGAGGGGAGTGGTCGTGGTAGCCATGGCGATGATGAAGTGAAAAGTGTATGGGAGCCTTGGGAGGGGTGGTGTGGTGTGGAATGGAAGGGGGTTGGGCAGAAGGTATGGTATTTATGTACAATAACGTGCACTAGAGACCAATTAGAATAAAAGTGGAAGATTGGTAGTATCCAATGGCTGCGAAATTATGGACCAAGGAGATTGACAGATTTGGCAAAATCGACTTTGTTTGATTCACTGTGACATTGCAGCACATTCTACTAAATTGGAGACTAATGCATCAGTTTTTTCTGTATTTAAATTCGTTAGCCGTTAAGGATGATCCTTGATTTTTAGGATTTCTGAATATCATTTGATGACCTTCCTTTCCGCCCTTTTTTAAGCTAGAGGGAATGGTAGAATGTATTACTAGCTTGTCTTCAAAAAGACGGAATGAAAGCTTCGGGCCTTTGTGAGTATATCGGCTATCTGGTGACTTGAAGAAATGTATTTCATAGTCAAAGCTTCAATGGAAACCTTTTCACAAATGAAATGGTAGTCGATTTCAACATGCTTTGTGCAAACGTGAAATGTAGAATTGTCTTTGTTCTTAGAATTTGACAATTATGGCTTTTACAATTTTATTGATCAACTATTTGGATATTATTATTTGACATACACTATTTAAATCTATTAAATGTTTCATCCATGACGTATACACAAAAATAGGAAAGTTAAGCATTATAATGTTATCAAACATGTTGACACTCTAAACCATTTCATCACTTTCCCCTCTTGATTTCTTCATATTTCCATCTAAATCTACAGAGAATTCTTCCCATATGAAGTTCGCGAATTTAATCAACACCTATGTGCAATCTGATAAAATCTATGAAAATTCCATACTTTCCTTTAATAATTGAAACCCTAGCCACCAAACTTGTATATTGTTGTTGTGTATTTGAAGTAAAATTTATTTGATGTTTTGGAGTCAGTTCTGAAATTTCGGATGTCCTATGTCACATTTTAAAATTGAGCCCCTTTCATGTAATTGAAAAAAATATTAAAAAAAAAACATAATCCAATAATAGTATTGCATTGCAAAAATTTGACATTTATATGTTTGTTTATTTTTTTGCATGTCATGAATAAGAATAGTATAAGTAAAGCTCAAAAGTACTTCCTGAACTTAATCAAAATTCAGATGTCATCAACAAAGAATCATCCAAACCACTAACCTAATCGTGCAATTCTATACAAGCGAACCTTTGAAAAAAAAAAAAAAACAAATACCACGTGTAAATATTGTGCCCTTTAACTATTTTTTTTTTTTTTTGGTTCCTTTTTCATAAATAAGGTGTCATTTAACTAAACACTAGTCTTATGCGCCGTGCTTTGTTATTTATAAGATAATGTTAACGTGCCTTCGAAAAAAAGATTTAGACAAATTCACCATTCCTCCAATATTGGAGTTTTTTTTAACATATTTACAACATGTATAAAATGAATGACTCCTAATTCTTTTTAGCATAATATGCTAATGGCCGACAGGATCATGTAACATTTAGAACTTCAGTAAGCCAATGATATTATAAACTAAGTGAACGATACTACACCAAAAACTGCTTATGGCAACGTGCGAAAAACGTTGCCATAGACTTTTGGCAGCGTTCGGGTGCACGTTGTCAGATTCAATGTCGCCGTAGAGTTCCAACTTTTGGTAACGTTCATTGAACGTTGCTGAAAGTGTCTACGGCAACGTGAAATGAACGTTGCCGTAGGGTCTTTCAGCAACGTGCTGAAAGACCCTACGGCAACGTTCATTGCA